AAAAAAAAAAAAAAAAAAAAAAAAAAAAAAAAAGAAAAGAAAAGAAAGTGGAAGGGAGGCTATTATTAGGCAAGAGGAAGGAGTAAGAGGGAAGGGGGGGTGTTCAACTGGGAAAGTGGGGGTGGGTGGGTGTGAGAAAAACATTTAACACTTTCAACCCCCAAATAAACTGTAAAACTAGGGGGAAGGCAGAAAAAGTGAAAATGATCAGAGTGTGTTAGGGGCATGTTCAAATCTGCCAAAATGAAACCCACTGATTTACATAAAGAATAAAAAAGACAGACAGGAAGAAAGAAAGAAAAGAAAGAAAGAAAGAGAGAAAGAAAGAAAGAAAGAAAGAAAGAAAGAAAGAAAGAAAGAAAGAAAGAAAGAAAGAAAGAAAGAAAGAAAGAAGGAAGGAAGGAAGGAAGGAAGGAAGGAAGGAAGGAAGGAAAGAAAGAAAGAAAGAAAGAAAGAAAGAAAGAAAGAAAGAAAGAAAGAAAGAAAGAAAGAAAGAAAGAAAGAAAACAGCACACAGCCAGACAGAAAGCCTGAAGAGAGGTCTGAGGAGTTGTTCAAGATAAGAAAACTCCAACTCCAGACTCTGTGAATAGCAGTTTTTCACCATGGGTCAGCAAAGGTCTGCACTGGAAGCCGAGAGTTGGCAGGAGGTGTGACACTGTCACGCTAGGCTGGGGCAGCCTGTCCGTCCGTACAGTAGGGCAGATAGGCAACAATTTCTCACCAGTTACCAAACTGTGTGATCTCTGACCTTGCACTTGTACTCAAGGAATCTGAGCCACCAGGAAGCTCCCCTGCTAAGAGGCCGGTCACCACCCCAAGGTCACAGCAGGGAAAGACTGGACAGTGTGGATGTCACCTGAGGGGAGTCCACCTGCTCAGAGGCTTTAGGCCCAAGAGTGAGAGTGAGCCAGTCTGCTGTGTCCGAATGAGACACACGCGGGCTGTATGGGCAACAGGGGCAGGGTTGGGGGGTGGGCGATCAGCCAGGTCAGGGGACGGACAGAGTGCATGCACATAGACTCCTACGACACCAAAGCACCCAAAAATCAACTGGTGACAACCGGGGCCCCATGGAAGAGTGGACAGAGGAAGTACGGGAGGGTGAAAGTCACCCAGCCGCACAGAGGAGTGACGCGCGCTGACACACGACAGTGGGGCTGGCTCCAGATGACACAACACTCGGGGAAAGAAACCAGACAAGAGACCTGGTCCACTTTGTCATGTGCCCAGGACAGGCAGATGTAAACAGAGTGTATTCAGGGCTGCACAGGGATGGCAGCTAAAGGACACACGGTCTTTTTAAGGCGATGGAAATGTCTAATGTTGGCTACGATGATCAACAAGTCGGTCAATATGCTGAAAACCTCGAAGTGTGTGTTGTACATTGGTGTGAGAATTCAACCAATGACATGGTTGTCTAAAAACACGCCACACCCAGGGCTGGGGTGTGTCTCAGTGTTGTGCACCTGCCCAGCATCCGTGAGGCCATGGGTTCCATCATTGTGCCACAGGCACAAACGAATAAGCACAATATACATACATAAACCATTACATAGGAATATAAAGTTGAAAAAAGTATAACCATGTAATGTGGAAAGGAGGGAAGAAAAGGCTCTGGCCCCTCAGGTCAGTGGCCTGGATGGGACAGCATCTCTCACAGGCTCTCTGAGGCTCCCAGAATACAAGCAATGGGTACACACGAGGCCACCAGCACCCAGGGGCTTTCCATACGCAAACACATCTGTCACCCCCAGCCTGTGTAGGAACCGTTCTCCCTGACCCAGGCTACCTGCCCTTGCTGCTCCCTGTGGGGTCAGCCCTGCCAGCCAAGTCATTGCCCCCACAGGCAGCACGGCCCCAGCTTTCACCTCACAGTGGTCTTCTGTGGGACAGCGTTTTGTCTGCCTGGCTGGACCCACCGTGCCTGGCACACAGCAGGTCAGGCGAAGGGACAGGTAGGGGATGACAGGTGCCCTGGCTTTTGTTAACCCCTGTGGCCTCCCACAGGGATCATCAGTGAAATCCTCAGCAGCGGGAGCCCCACAGGCCACGGAGGTGTCCACAGCCACATCAGGCCCGAGTAGCGCCCCCACCTGCCCTCCTCCCACGTACCTCCACTTGGGCCTCATCCCAGGCGTCCAGGCGGACCGACTTCACCTTGCTGACCTGGGGGACACTCCGGTGGATTCCAGAGCAGCTCAGGCAGATGAACACCCCCAGGGTGTAGGATGCCCAGTCGGGGTCTGGAAGGGAAAGGCCAGAGGTCAGGAGGCTTGGCCAGACCCTGGATCCAAGTCATGAGGGCCCTGGCTGGGGCCATCTGACCAAGGCTAGGCTGCAGGACCAATTCCCAAAGCTGCCCTGGCTCCGTGGGCCCTAAGGTGGGGCCCCTGCATCCACGGAGGAGTAACCCGAGGACCATCCCGGCTGCGAGGATGTGCTCAGAGCTTTCCGTGGAAATCCACAGAATGTGCTGGAACCTAGGAGCACGGGCTCCACCTGGCTGCCAGACCCCAGCATCCCAGAGATCCCTGCAGGGCCCTGGGGACACCTGTCCTCAGAAATTATCCCAGGCCAGGATGACGGCATCAGAACCTTGCATACTGAAGTGTTGAGGGATTATGCCTCTAGATATCTGGTGTACTTTCAAAAGCTCGATCCGGGTGTGCTGGCAGCACACTTGTAACCCCAGCACTCTGGGAGGCTGAGGCAGGAAGATGACAAGTTGGAGCCACTGGGGCGTGTGAGTGTCCTGGTTTCGTGCTGACTACTTTTGCACATGTTTCAGTTTTTCATATTGAATTCAGTAAAGTGACCCCTGTGGAATGTAACACTTGTTAAATTTCATAAGTAGGCGCTTGTTGGGAGACTTGGTGGTTTTCTTCCCATTTGGAAAATCCCAACAGAGTAAGTAAATAAAGGGGGCAGTGGGGACTGAACGGGGCCCCAAGAACCCAGAGATGAAGGGAAGGGGGAAAAGAAAGGAAGGGGATGTAAAAAGAATTAAGACTATATCAATTCCCCACAATAAATGTGATCATTATGTACTATGAACAGGTACTAATAAAAATTTGAAAGAAAAACAAAAAAAACTGCAAAAAAATTTTTTCTGTAAACCTAAAATTGTTCTAAAAACATGTCTATTTTTGTTTTTTGGGGTTCTTTTTTTTTGTCTGTTTTATGTTTTTTGAGATACGGTCTTACTATTATAGTTCAGGCTGGCCTTGGCAATTCTCCTGCCTCAGCTTCTCACGTGCTGGGATTATCGGTGTGCACCACCACACCCGGCTAAGGTCTATTTTTGTGGTTCTTTTTTTTTGTCTGTTTTATGTTTTTTGAGATACGGTCTTACTATTATAGTTCAGGCTGGCCTTGGCAATTCTCCTGCCTCAGCTTCTCACGTGCTGGGATTATCGGTGTGCACCGTGCACCATGAAATGAATAACAAAAAGTTAAATTTTAAATCTAAACTGTTTGGAAATGCAAAAAATGATTTATAAATAATGGATGGGCCCCAAAAGAAGTCATAATAAAGATTCGGGAGAAAATGTTTAACGCTAAACAATAATTAACATGTCACATATCAAGTATTTTTAAAAATGAAAGGAGAACCACCCCTCAGGCAGGGCCAAGTCACCTCTGAACACATTGGCAGGGGCTCTCCCACAAGGCTGGTTTACACTCAGACCCCGGCAGTCCCATGGCCATGCACCAAAGTGACACCCAGGCAGGGTGGACTTAGGCCTCTTCAGGGCCTGGCTGATAACAGCCCTGGTCCCTGGCCAATAGGGATTCCAATAAAGAGACAGGGGGTGCGGAATGGTGGTGTCCAAGGGTGAATGAATGTGTGGCAGTCCCATTTGACTGAGCCCCAGGCTGCTCCTCACCTTGTCACGCAGCCCAGCAACACCGGACAGGTGCGAGCATGGTGTGAGGAGACACAGAGGCTTCAGGGAAGTGGAATCCTGGGAGTGGCAAAGAGTTTGTCACATGATCTTCCAGATTGTTGGTGGGGGGAGGATGGAAGTGAAGTCCCAGAAAGGAGAGACCCAATTCCACCCCGGGGCTGTCTTCTTCAGAAACTCTCACACAGCTACCAGATGGGGAAGGAGATAAAACAGCCCTATTCGTAGACAACATGATCATCTAGGTAGAAAATCCAATAGACTGTACAAAAAAACTAGTGGGCCGGGGATTTAGCTCAGTGGTGCCACTGCCTGCCTCGAAAATGCAAGGTTGTAAATTCAATCCCTGGTACTATAAAAAAAAAAACAAACCTGGGGATTTAGCTCAGTGGTGCTGCCTGCCTCGCAAGCCCAAGGTCCCGAGTTCGATCCCTGGTACCAAAAAATAAAACTGGACAAAAAAACTACTATAATATGTGAGTTTGGCAAGGTTGCAGGCTATAAAATAAATATATTAAAAAATCAACTCTTTCCTTCTACTAACAATAAGCAATCAAACTGAAAAATTTTAAATATAATTTATAATAAGCACAAAACAAAACATTACTTAGGGCTAAATATGACAAAAAATGTGGCAGATGGTACACATAAAACTAAAACACTGCTCGAGAGAAACTAAAGTAGAGAGAAACTGCTTTTATAGATTGGAAGAGTCAATATTGTTAATACACAAATTCTATCCAAATTAATCTATAGATTCAATGTAGTCTCCACCAGAACTCCAGTAGAGACCAGGCATGGTGGCATATGCCTATGATCTCAGTATTCAAGAGGCTGAGGCAGGAGGATCACTGTGAGTTGAGGCCAGCCTGCCTTACACAGTGAGTTTAAAGACAGCCTGAACTACATGTGAGATTATCTCAAAAAACCAAAACAACAACAAAAAGCTGGGCATGGTGACTCACGCCTGTAATTCCAGCACTCAGGAGGCTGAGGTAGGAGGATTGCCACAAGTTCGAGGCCAGTCCGGGATACACAGTGAGTTCAATCAAGGTCAGCAGAACTGCATAGTGAGAACCTATCTCAAAAAAAACTCCAGCAGGGTTTTTAGCGAAGCTGATTCTATATGTAGGGCTGGGGACATGGCTCAGTGGTACGGTCTTGCTTAGTATGACCTTCCACCACAATAAAGAAAAATAGTAAAAAATTAAAATTCAGATGGAAATGCAACATTCATAGCACAGTAAAAACAAATTAGAAAAAGGACAAAAATGAAGAACTGGCAATACTACTTGTTTTCAAAACTTACCAAATTACTAATACCTGGACAGTGTGGTTTTGAATGAAAATAAGATAAACAGATCAATGGATCAGGACAGAAACCAAAAATAGGCATGTGGGCATTGAGTTATCGACAAAGGTATACATGTGATTCAGTAGAGAAAGAACAATCTTTCCACTGATGGCACTGGGAATATTAGACATCACTGCCAAGTGGTAAACTCCCCTCCTTATCTCTCACCAGACACAGAATAGCTCCACGCGCTTCCTAGTGCTAAAAGAAAGCCTAAAACCACAGGTGTCCAGAAGAAAATGGCAGAAAAGTCTTTGCGTCCTTGGCTTAGGTGATCCTCAGGGAAGCTGCTGCGTCTCCACCAACAGGGGCTCAGGCCCGCTGTCCCCACACTGGGTCCCCTCCTGACTCAGGAGTTGGTGTCTCCAGTGACAAGTCCCTGGGGTGAGGCCAGAGCCCATGTCTGGGACAGATAGCGGTAGTGTGACCATGTGCCTGTGTTGCAGGACTGGGCTCCATCCCAACATCCCCCCACCAGGCCTTCTCCCAGGGCAATGAGCCCTCACTAGGCCACTGCTAGACAGAGCCTCACTCCATCTCCACACAGTTCTGAGGTGAGATCCCGCCATTCATCTATTTCTACAGGATAAGGTAAAGGAAGCCCACAGAGGGTTGGATACCCACTTGAGGTCACCAGGCTGAGCTAAGACTTGACCGTGGGCACCCCTCTCCTAGAGCTCAGCCCAACCCCATACCTTCCCAGTTCAGCGCAGACAGATGTTAGGAAGCATCAGCTGGGGGTCCCTGCAGAGCGCAGGAGACAGAGGAAGGTGAGCTGGGCTGCTCACCTGGGCAGCTGGCAGGACCTTCTGTCCCGCTATGGCCACTGTGCCCACCTCCCTCCTGGGGCCATAGAGGACAGACCTCCCACTCAATCTCGGCCCTGTAGGGGTGGAAGAGGAGGGACTCCACAGTGGAAGGAGATCCCCGAGCTGCTCTGACCTCGGTCATCTGGCAGGGAGGTTATTCCGGGTGTGGAGTCACCTGGGCTTGGGGAAGAGAGTGACCAGCCCTTGATCCGAAGCTCCAGCTCACGGCTGGGCACAGCTGGGGCTCTTGTCCAGGGAGGCCTGGGACCAGTGGAGCAGCATCCAGGGAAGCCCCAGGCCCCAGGCGGGAGGCCTTGGCCCCAGCCATAGCCTCCTTGCTCTGGGCTGGTGGGAGGAGTAGAAAAGCTGCCCAAAGGGGTGGAAGTTTAACCAGCACCACCTGTGCGCTCCCTTCCTGATTCACACGTTCCTCTGAATCACTCCACACCACACTGGGGTCAGCAGAGTGGACAAATGGCCCCTGCCTGGGGGGCCCCAGCCCTGACAAGGGATGGAGCCCCACCCAGGCTGAAAAACAACTCTCACTGCACCAAAGGAAAGATCCCCAAGGGAGAAAGATAGCCAGGGAGCCACAGCAGGTGGTTGAACAGGGCTTAGAGGCTTTCCTGGAGGAAGGGATGAAAATGCTAATGGCTGAGGATGAGCAGGAATGGGGTCTGAGGGAAGGACAGAGGTCCAGGCCTGAGGAAGAGCACGTACGGAGCCCAGGCTGCGGCAGAGGTGACCAAGCCAGAGATACATGGTACAGCTTCCTGCCTACTCCCAAAACTCAGGCTCAGGACCGCACCATTACCCTCACACCCTCATCCGTGCACAGACCCAGCCCACTGAGGCCTCATCCAGCCCAGCAGGTCTGCCTGGAGGGAGGCTGGCTGGCTCCTGCCTGACGCACACCTGTAATCCCAGCACCCTGGGAGGCTGAAGCAGGACGACTGCAAATTCAAGCTCCACCTGGGTAATTTAGCGAGACTCTCAAAATGAAAATATAAAAAGGGCTAGGATTGTAGTTTAGTGCGATGATTCCCCCCTTGGTGCCAGGAAGAGAAAAAAGATAGGGAGAGCATGAGAGGATGCTCAGTGGCAGAAGAATGAGCCCAGCTCACTGCCCGGGGCCAGCAGGTAGGCACAGTGGTCCCCTGCTGCTCCCAGGGCTCACATCTATGGAAGCCTGAAGCCCACCCA